ATATAAGATTCGGCATAGCCGAATATAACACTATTACTTGTTTTTCTTCTGTCGTATAGTGTTTTCTCGGTCTCTGTAGTACTACTGTATGTGGAGTGGAGTTAATTTACTAAGTTAATGTCTCTAATCGGATTGCAAGGATAATTATTTTATGCTTACTTGCAAAGATTGTTAGTTTCATCTCATTTTATACCTTTTTTGCCTTCTAAATAAATAATGATTAGATTTATACGTGTTGACTTGTATGTAAGTATTTTATAAAAGTGACTTATTTTATGAAATATTTAAGGTAGGAAGAACTAAATAAATTAAAGCAAAACTTGAACAAAATTAAGAGACTGCTGGCATACCCAAAGCTATATATATTTGATGAAAAAACCACAGTAGGGGTTTACTATGAGAGGACTCTTAATACATTAAAATTTAATGTATAAAGAGTCCAAAGATGTGTATTTTGTTGCCATGATGTTGCCATGCCCATTACTGTTAGCACTGTTAAAATTAGCCTATTGTAAGACCATAAATATATTGAATATACAGCAAAATTATTCTTTTAAACGTTTAGAAAAAGTAGTCCACAATACTTTCAATCACAAATCAGAGTTCAACATTAAAAACTAGGATTATCAAATAATTGCAAATTGTTTTATTGTTTTGTTCTTATATTTTAATTTTATTCTTCTTGTTTGAGCATTTATTGAATTTATTGTACAATACATTTTCACTCAAGTTGAAATGTTCAAAATTTCTTCCGGTTCTCAAATTACGTGAACAAAATCGTTTTACTTAACATTGCGTCTGTTAATAAGAAATGAATAGAATAAATCGGCAGAGACAAGTACAAAGGTAACACATACATACATACATACATACATACATACATACATACATACATACATACATACATACATACATACATACATACATACATACATACATACATACATACATACATACATACATACATACATACATACATACATACATACATACATACATACATACATACATACATACATACATACATACATACATACATACATACATACATACATACATACATACATACATACATACATACATACATACATACATACATTCGCTTTAGACTGACAGTTTTTAGCCAGGATTTGACATTTAACAGACTAAGGCTACCACCATTATCCATAGTTTTATTATTTACCACATTATGCCCTACACCACTATAGTCGGGAGGTATTATGAGTTTCCGAGGATGTCATCTTTGTAAGCGAGAGAGTGGACACTTAAAAAATATACTTAAGCTTTTTGTCTGTTTCTTCGTAATCTATGGGATGACGATTGACTTCATCGTAGGACATGTTGAAATAGCTAATCATCTGGGCAGTCGGTAACTAGGGGTAACCCTAAGAGGTAGGTTAAATAGGTAGTTCGGGACTGACCGACCTAACTGCTGGGTTGTACTGAACTGAACATCGCAAAATATTTATTATTAAAAATAATACAAATATTTTACATACTATTAACAGGTCTAGGATATCATATGGTCGGTCATGCCCGACTATACATTCTTACTTGTTTTATATTTAACTTTGTACCTTCTTCATCTATTTTTTATTTTTGTTTCAAGTCAAAATAAAAAGTTCACTAACTTTTTGTTTTAAATTGTGTTTGACCAAAAACCATCAAAAACAATAACTTTATCACAAGTTGTGGGCTGGTTTATTTTCATGTTTCGCTTTAAAATATATCTAATTTTTTATTTATAGTATATGTTTTTTAAATTACTTTTATTTGTATTGAAATTACAATTTTTACATCATTAATCAAAAATGCGGTAAATATGAAATAAATAAAAACTGTCGTATCAAACTGGAAATTTTCTTTCATTGTACATATTAGAATTATTAATTAAGGTTTTTTAGCATTGGTTTGCTATACAAATAAAATTTTTAATCAAATAACATGATTTGCATTTTCATATTTGTTAAAAACCTATGCACCTGTGAGCTTAAAGCGTAAATTTTCAATAAATTAATAAAATCTAGGGTACACATGGAAAGATCAAATTCAAAGAATAATGGTACGAAAATGTACCGAAAAGTCTTCTTTTATAGGCTTTCAATTAATCAGGACCCAATAAGCTTGATTTAATGATTCTAGCCTCAATATTACAGAATATTCAAAAAATAGCAATTGAAAAACAAAAGTATCAGAAAGTTCGTTTTTTAGATTTTCATTCAATCAGGATGCTGCATGTTGAATTTTATGTTTTTAGTTCCAATATAATAGTAATTTTGATTCAAAGTTCAATATTTTGAAACCTCAAAGTTTTAGAACGAAAAAGTAGCCGTTTGTAGATTCTTACTTCTCAAGACTTAGCATGTTAAAAATCCTTGTTCCTTTTATATAGATAAACCAGTTTCACGTTACTGGATCTGAACTACTACATTTTTACTTTAAAATTTTTTTCAAATAAGTACTCTTCAGCAGCGGGAAAATGCGAAATAATTGTTTAGTCTAATAAAAGTTTATTAATTTTTTAACCTAACTCAACAACATTAATACACAGAAAAAATTATCGGTAGTTTATTTTCAATTAACATGTTTTCCTCTTTCTTTAACTTTTATTTAAACAATTTTTTAATTGTCATAATTATCTCATTGTTTTGATCCTAAGTATAAAAATTTGATTAAACTTTTAATTGAAACAATTAATTTTTTAATTGGCTGAAAAAGTTTTTCCAGCCTACTTTTTTATTTTGGTTTGTTTTGATATTTTATTTAAATAATTTCATTATTTATAACGGAAAATAATTCTCAAATAGTCAATAATATTTTAGGCATAAGAAGTTGAAGTTTCATAAATATTTTAAAATTTATAAATCACTTTATTTGTTCAAATGTGACAATAAAGAGATATTTTTGAGAGTGCTTAACGCATTGTTAAAGGTAAAGGAATCCTTTAATGTTGTAAGCATTCAATTAATGCTTTGATTGTTTCAATCTTCGACTTTATTGATTTTTAATACATTTTTAACCAAACTGTTCAATTTATTTGATTAATAAACTAATTAAAATGTAAGTTTTATTTTATTAAATATTTAATTTATCCAGTTAATGAATTAACTAATTTTAAATTTTGAATTTAATTACTGATGTTAATTGTTTTGATTATTTCTTTAATTGGAAGAAAATGTTTTTTACAAATTTCATAATTGATATCATCATTTTGTTGATAGGTGCAAAACTTGCTTGATACAATCAATTTGATAATTAAAACACATTTTCAGTTTTTTCTGTGTATGTAAAAAATTGCCAACCTTTGAACTAAATTAGACCTTCGATTTACGTTAAATATTAATATTTCTAGTAAAAGTTTTAAAAATATTAGGAAAACAAACAAAATAGAAACAATAGAACTTAATCGTTCTAATAGAATTACATTTTATATTATAAACATATAAGCTTATTTATAATAATATGCTTAAGTATTTGTATTTATAATATACTATATAATGTAAATAATTTACGCACTTATGTTGCCAAAGAATAATTATTATAGGACCCCGATTACTTTCAGAAATGCTTGCAAAAAGTTTTCTAATTGAAATATACGGAATCGGTCCATAAATAACAAAGATTTGTGCAAAATTCCGAAATAACACATGAAAATATTGTTAAGCAATTGCGAAAGTATAGTCGTTCATACCCGACACAAGTATACTACCGTATAGTACATAGAGTACGATTATATTTTTGTTTTCCCCGTTACTTCGTTAACAAAATTTTTAAGAGCAAAATATTTAAAAACCCGATATTTTTGAAGTTTTAAATATTAATATTGAAAAATTCGCATTTTTCAATCGGTTTTGAAATTTAGTACTTTCTGTTGAAGATACAAGTGCTGAATTTTAATCTAAAAATTAAATCTTTTCATAATAAGTCTTTGAGAAACTGAATGAGTTATGTTAACTTTTCTATAAAAATACCATACTACCTTTATTGACAGAAGTCTCCAATGCATTGCCTAGTAGAAATCGTATTACGTACCTCAACCTTTAGAACTGACATGTAGTTTATGTAAGCATGTACTTATACAGTAGAAATTAATATGCTTGCAAATTGAGTTTGAATACACTTAGTAATCGTACGAACCGACACCCTATATTCGAAAAGTGCCAACTCAATCTTGGGCCAAAGTGAGTTTTTGATGTCAAAAGATTCTTCAATGCATAATCCACATCTGGTATAAATTTGAAACCAAACATTTTTTTTTTCGCTTTTAACAATAATTTTTGTTAATATATCTGAAATTTTTGTTGAATTTAAATATTTTTTAAATATCAAATTTATTTTAAGTTCACATTGTATATTGACAAGGTTAACATGCTGAAGTAGAATTTACTCTATGGAAGTACTGAAAACGACCTGCAGAAGTGATGATTTTAACACAGGCTTGTCATAGCAGGGATGTTCTTTTTATTTGATTCCAAATTCGCTACATCCGAATTTATTCTCAAGAAGTAAATTTTATGTTCTCTTTTGGAAGTTATTTGGAAGTAAAATTGTAGCCTTATAGAATGCAACTAATTTGACTTATATAATATGGAGAAATAGGCTCCGCGGAAGTTATTAAACTCCACTGCCACAAAAGGTGAAAAAATTCACTTAGTGCAACTTTTGAAGTGGTGATAAATGTTATTCTTTGAAAGTACTTCGTTTTATTTTTGCTGAGTACACATACATTTTTTAATATATGTTATCGATACAACATTTATAACAAGAAATCATTTTCACACCGTAAAAACAGTTAAAGCTATCTATCTACAGACATACATTTTGTGCTGTTTGTGCTGTCGAGCTGTAGTATGTTTATAATATTTTGTACAGTTCAATGAAAACTCGTATAGATTATTTTTTATTGTTTTATTGTGAAGTAAATTCGAATTGAAAATCGAATAAATTTGGAATTATTTTGGAAATTGGTTATTATTTCTTTATAGTTGCGAATTTATACACACAAAAAATAAATTCTAATTGTCAAAATAAAAAAAAAATGCAAAAGTTTCATACAATTTTTCTATGTGTACTTATGAAAGAATAAAAACACTTCTATAAACACATAAATTAAACTTCAAAACCAGCACCAGTTTCAAGTCGGCTGCATTAGTTAAACGTACTTCTTGGTATCAGTGTGGATTGCGGAAAATTTAAAAATATATAAAAAAAATATTTGTATAGTGTTATAGAGAATACGACAATAAAGATGGTACTGATTTTGAAAATAATTTGGCGTGTTATGGTGGATCATTTCAGTAGTATCGGCAAAGGTAGGATTCAATTAAAAATGTATTAGCAATTCCGATTATATTTACATTTTATTTTGATGTAATATATAGATCCACGCACAAGTCATCTGCCTTTGACAAAAAGCTATTCACAGCTTTTATTTATCATTGGAGTATATGTATTGGTCGTGTTAAAAATTGGTCCAATGTTTATGAGAAAACGTAAGCCGTATAATATTAAATCGATTATACAAGTTTACAATATTTTCCAGATTTTAATGAATTTATATATTTATTATGGTGTAAGTATGATAAGATTGGCTTATTTTTCATATAATTAAATTTGTACTAATATTTCTTTTTAGTTGACGAAACATTTTGTATTCAGTCCAAACTACAGTTGGACATGTATGAAGTATGATCAAACGGATACAAGCCCTGATGTTTTGGGTGTAGGCAAATTTGTGTATTTATATTATATAAATAAAATATTGGACTTCTTAGATACTGTAAGTATTTTAAAATAAAGATAAAGTTCCTAGTTAATGGCCTACGTTATTTTTTACAGATATTTTTCCTTTTACGAAAAAAGTTTAATCAGATATCGTTTTTGCATGTATATCATCATGCCATTATGGTATGGGGTGGTTTTATTTATATTAATAGATTTGTGGGTATGTATGACTACTTAAAAAAAATATATTTCTAAAACAACCGAATTTATTGTCAAGTTTTTTGTCGAAATTATTTTAAATTTGATTGGTAATTCGATTGTTGCAACGGAAAATTTAACTAATCCTTATTTTCAATAAAACTTAACTTTAACTTAAGTTATCGCCAACTGTTACACCTGGTGCTAGTGAAAACCCCTAATTTGTTAATGAATGAAAAAATTACAAAGTATTAAAATTTATTCCATCATTTTTATAATTAATTTTATTACTGCAGGGTCACAATTTACAGTTGTCGGTCATGTGAACAGTTTAGTACATGTCCTTATGTACACGTATTACTTCCTATCGGCACTTGATATAAAACTGAATATGGATTCGTGGAAACCTTATATGACTAAAATACAAATTATACAATTTTTTTATTTTGCCATCAAATTTTTCGTAACCATTGTCAGGAACGGTCAATGCGGCTTGCCCTATGAATGGCTGGCGACGCTGTTCATTCAGAATCTATTCATGACGGCTATGTTCTCGCATTTCTATTGGAAAAACTACATTTTAAAAGAGAGACAAAGGAAGCTGAAAAATTAATCTTCCTCAAACGAAGCTCATTCATGTGTGAAATTAATAAACGTTAACTATATCTACCCACAACACTTTATTCTAATTGTTTATGTTCAACACTTTTCATACATTTTAAATGATTGTAAATATTTTAAAATTTTGTAAATAAAAAGAAGAATTCTAAATTAAAGAAAAATCCAGCAAGTAACAGAATACTTCAATAGAATATTTAATGCAATAGATTCTTATGCTACAACATACAATTCTATATCTGACTTGGGTAAGGTTAAATATGGACGTGGCATTCGTGCGTAAAATCAGTTTAATATCCGGAATAAATAATATATTTACGAAATTTCACCACAACTATGAAGTATTTCAGCTTTAAAGCCCAACAACAAAAGCAAATAGAAGCACCAACAATCTAAAAGACAAAATAACACCTGAATTACTATTTGCACCTAAAAACTTATTTGGGTTATTACAGCAACAACACGAATGTAGAAACAATTTACATAAAGTTCATTTCTTTGCGTAATTAGACGAAAGAACGAGAGAATGTACGAACGAACAAAGTAAAAGCCTAATTAAAATTTCAGTACGGATTTAATTTAATAAATAAATTACGAGTGTGTTGTTGTTGTTGATTAAAATTTACATTTGAAATTCCTAATAAATGCTTTCATTAGACAACAACTATAAATACAACAACAATAATTTTAATGAATACATCATTAACACAAATAACCAATAGTGAGTTATACAGTGGTTTAACGAATGATATAATGTCAGGCCCATTCGTAAAAACGAAAAATTTGTTAAACCGAATAACAACTTTTCTATGATTTAATAATAAAAATACGGTAATGGAAGGTAGGAAGTCTATTTTTTAAATCTTTTTGAATGAACATTGAAAGTTTTTGACAATTTCCATGCATTTTTATTAAATGTGCAAATGATAGAAATTAGTTTTTTTGTTAAATTTGCAATCAAACCAAAATTAAAGATTTTATGAAATATTTTATTACAATTAGGTTAAAGTAGCTTCATTTATATTTATATTTCCGAAAATAATTTTTTAAATGTTATTTTCATCCCTGTTCCCGGATTTTTGTATTTTTGTAGATTTTGTACCTACCCATTGAATTGGGTATTGAACTTACATAAAATCTTAATATGTTATTGCTTTTGGTTAATAAAGAAGTTTAGTTATCTTTCCGTATTATTTTAACCTCTTTTTATAGACAATTTTTTAGAAATTCGTTATATCGAGTACAAAATTTACTCATTCATTCGTAATATAAGGTACTCAATGGAAACAATTTGCCCGTTCGTTAAATCGCGAATTCGCTAAACTGAGTATTCGTTAAACCGGGAAACCAGTATATTTGCATATTTATTTAAAATTAACAAAATAAAGATTAGAAATACATATGTTTATTCAATTTATACTAGAAGTGCCCGGTCCGCTTGCAGGCCCTTGGTTGGAGATGAATGACTACGTAAAGATTCAATACCCGTAAAATTTTCAAAATTATGTGTAATTGAGTAGAATTTGAAATTTTGTCCCATTAGGTGTCGTTGTTCTTGAATAAACATTAGTCTTTTATTTATGTATTTATGCATACATATACGCATAGATGTAACTGTATTTCAACGCAAAAATTTGGTTTGGACATTATTTGACCCTAGTCCCCATGCAAATCCTCCTTAAGCAATCGACTTTAATTCCATAATTCTCTTAATTTAGCAAAAATAACTTTTATATACATCTAAATATTTCCACCAAATTGTATGAGGATCGGCCCATATTTATATATAAGCATCTTTCGGAAAATCAGTTTTGTAAAAATTTTGTATTAAGAAAAAGATCAATAACGTGCGTTTTACTCATGAATAAACATGGGTTTCTAATCAGTTAAAAAATAGTACGGTTCCTATATGAAATACTTAAAAAAAACATCTCCAAACCTGGACAACGGTGCAAAACTAAAATAAAAAATATGTTTGCTGATGAAATTTACACATATCTCTCCAGGTTACTTAAACGTTATATATGGCATTATAAAGGCCTCAACTTTGGCCTCCGGTGGGTTAGGTGGCCTCCGGTGGGTTAGTGGTTAGTGTTCTAGTCTGGTAGACCGGAGGTGGTGGGTTCGATTCCCACCTGAGGCACTGGTTAAGGAGCGCACAACAGGCCCGATAGAGGCCTAGGTGTATTTCATCGGATTTGATGTATGTATATATGTATGTACATCCTCCTTTCAAACTAACTAACTACCTAACTAAGGCCTCAGCTTCTGCTTTCTAAATTCGTGATGAAACTTAAAATCGGTTCAGATTTAACTAAGTGTCTAAAGGTACGAAAAAACGGTTTTTACCCGTAACTCAAGATTTTGGAGGTGTTTGGCAAATTTCAAAAACATATTCTTGTTCTACTCGGATCCACCTTTCAGAAAAATAGTATCACTTCCCAGGTATTTCAATTTTCATTTATTTGGTCTCACTGTGTTATTTACCTAAGTTTACTACTTTCGACAAACTGATTAAATTTTTATACAGCTAGTGTAGGTGTGTCGTTCGAAATACGGCACTTATTTTGATGGTGGTAATATGTATAAGACATACTCTTGTCACTTTTTTTAAATAATACAACTAAAAACTACCCATAATATCTAAATTTGTAGAGGTTCTATCACGTCGTACTTCTAATTTGCACTGACTGATTTTCCCAGTTCTAAATTACAAACAAGATCAGCAAATAATATATATTAGACACCGTAAATAAATGTTCGCCATAACTTTTATAATTCAAAATTTCTAAAGAACCGTAATATATTAAGGTCGTTGTGTTAGAAACGGAATGAGAAAATCAATATACCCTCAATAATTTTATTGTTATACCCACAACTAAAATTTAAAATATTCTGACGTGTGGATATTACGAAATGTAAAATATTTTATAAACCAAATTATGTAATAAGTAATTCCCATTAAACAATTTTAAACAAAAATGCATATGTATATATATAATTGTATACATTACATATGTATGGACTGATATTTTTAAATAATATTAAAGTAATTCATTAAATGCAATAATCACCAAATATAATTCATACCAAACTAACTCTTCGTAATAGAATCTACTTTCAGTACGTTCCGTTTATTCAAGAGATTATTTGTTGCTTGGCGAAGTTTAAGCATGGGAATTATATTTGATAGTTAGTCTATTGCTTAGCACGAAATAATCTAAAATAACAAATAATTTAGATAACTTACGGTACACAAATCGTTAAACGATAAAATTAATTAACTGCTGAAGTGACTTAAGAAAAGCTACAATACTACACCATATACTACACAGTAAAAAATTAACGAATTACTTTCAAAAGAATGACATTTATCACCACTCGTGTACAAATTATTTAAGTCAAAATAATTATTACTATAATATTAAAATTTCACTACTTCCAAATCACTTCCTAAAAAAGTAACAGTTACTTCTTGAGCATGAGTTCAGAAGTAGTAATTTTTGAATAAAAAAGGACAGCTGTGTTAGAATTCCAATTGTACATCTTTTTCGCTTCTGTAGAAGTTAATTTTTTACTAAAGGAAATATATTTTATATTACATTGCATTAAAATATTAAATATAAAAGACTGGTAATTAAAACAATTATTATTCTTAAACAATTCATTTTTATGTGTACTGGGTTATTTTCCCACAAACATGTTGCGAAACATATTCACCTGTCGACATGTTTAAAAAGATATGCAAACAAAATATTTTTCTAGAAAAAATGCAAAAAAACTTGCATAAAAAAATCATTACAAATGCAATTGCAAGACAGAAAACTTTGAATAAATTAAAAAGTAAATTTATATTGAACCAAAAGATATTGAATACAGTTGCGAAAAGTAAGTGAAGAAGTGAAGACATTTGAAAAAGTCAAACGAATCTATTAATTTAACGGTTCAAATAAGTTTTCTAAGTTTAAGCAAAATGTTGTTGTTAAAAATGATTTGTAATGCTCTAATAGCAATGAACGAAGTTTTCGAAGAAGGTAAACGATATAATACAATATAATCTTAATTAATCGTACACATTTATAGTTCATTTTGATTTATAGATAAACGTCTTAGTTCTTATCCATTTCTTGGGAAACCATGGCCCGCGCTTGCAGTTATTGCAGTCTATCTTTTTACCGTGTTAAAATGGGGTCCTAAATTTATGGCCAATCGTAATCCGTACAAAGTTGATGGTCTAATGAAATTTTATAATGTTGTACAAATTGCGTTAAATGGTTTCATATTCTATGAGGCTTTGAAATATTCCTTCTTAAGGGATGACTTTGTAATGAGTTGTGAGAAGCATGATCCCACTGACACACGTCCATTGACAATGAAATTAGCTAGACCGGCCCTACTATATTACTTCTCAAAATATTTGGATTTGTTTGACACGGTAAATAAATGTTAATGTTAAATTTAATATCAATCATAATAATAATAATTTTCGCTCATTTTTTACTTGTTCAGTTCTTCTTTATAGTGCGTAAAAAAAACAATCAAATAACCTTTCTTCATGTGTATCATCACTCTTTAATGATTATGGCCGTTTACATTTATTGCACATTTTTGTTCTGTAAGTTCAGCATATATGGAGGAATACTAAAACTTAGTTTCACTTTTAATTTTCTCTGCTACATCGATTATAATTTCAGCATCTCATTTTACCGCAACTGGAGTCCTTAATAGTTTCATCCATGTTTGCATGTACACATATTACCTTCTGGCAGCTTCAAAATCTAATATCAATTTGGAGCCATGGAAACGTACGTTGACTATTATGCAACTTCTACAATTTACAATGTTGGCAGTGCACTTTGGTTTGCCACTACTTAATAATTGGTGTAAACTACCATTTTTCTGGTTGATGACTGCCTTTTTGCAAAATGCTTTCATGATTGTGCTTTTTTCAAATTTCTATTATAAAACATATATTTTAAAAGACTTAAGAAAGGAAAAAAACAAATAAAAATAAAATACTTCTAAAAATTGTGTTTTTTAATAAATATATAGAGATCTTTAACCCATAAACCCTGATTTTAAAGTAAGTGTTTGTGTATTTCTTCTTGTTTCAACGATATTGTTTGATACATTTGAATAAAACTGTTCTCATACATACATATCGTCACCTGAAACGCAAACGGCCCTAACTAACCAAAAATTCAAAGTCGATTTTATTGTTGATTATAATGTATTGCATCAAAACAAATGTCCACACAAAAAATTGGACTCCTCCGACCAAAATTAGCTATTTTATTGACAAAAAACAAAAGGCCCTATCTACAAACACATTTAAATATTAAAGGTAAAAAGTCCAATTTATCCATTTTTTATACGCCATTGTCAACTATCATAACAACTGATAGGTTTCACTATTAAACAATTTGTTTATTTACTACAAATAAATCGCGTTGATAGAAACGAACTTTTCAATTTCAATAGTTTTTTGCTTCTCCTGTAAAATTTTAAAAATGTTAGATAGGGTCGTTTGCGTTTTAGGTGACGATATGTACTTATAACATTGATTCTATTGAAAATTCAGAAGAACATAAGTTTTTTCTACTTTTCAGGATAACGTTTTAAAGTTTTAAATTCAAATATGAAACTACAAAAAAAACACATTTTAAAAGTTCTAATGCAATTTTTATGAAAAATTTACACAATACACTAACTAACTAACTAACTAACTAACTAACTAACTAACTAACTAACTAACTAACTACTAACTAACTAACTAACTAACTAACTACTAACTAACTAACTAACTAACTAACTAACTAACTAACTAACTAACTAACTACTAACTAACTAACTAACTAACTAACTAACTAACTAACTAACTAACTAACTAACTAACTAACTAACTAACTAACTAACTAACTACTAACTAACTAACTAACTAACTAACTAACTAACTAACTAACTAACTAACTAACTAACTAACTAACTAACTAACTAACTAACTAACTAACTAACTAACTAACTAACTAACTAACTAACTAACTAACTAACTAACTAACTAACTAACTAACTAACTAACTAACTAACTAACTAACTAACTAACTAACTAACTAACTAACTAACTAACTAACTAACTAACTAACTAACTAACTAACTAACTAACTAACTACTAACTAACTAACTAACTAACTAACTAACTAACTAACTAACTAACTAACTAACTAACTACTAACTAACTAACTAACTAACTAACTAACTAACTAACTAACTAACTAACTAACTAACTAACTAACTAACTAACTAACTAACTAACTAACTAACTAACTAACTAACTAACTAACTAACTAACTAACTAACTAACTAACTAACTAACTAACTAACTAACTAACTACTAACTAACTAACTAACTAACTAACTAACTAACTAACTAACTAACTAACTAACTAACTAACTAACTAACTAACTAACTAACTAACTAACTAACTAACTAACTAACTAACTAACTAACTAACTAACTAACTAACTAACTAACTAACTAACTAACTAACTAACTAACTAACTAACTAACTAACTAACTAACTAACTAACTAACTAACTAACTAACTACTAACTAACTAACTAACTAACTAACTAACTAACTACTAACTAACTAACTAACTAACTAACTAACTAACTAACTAACTAACTAACTAACTAACTAACTAACTACTAACTAACTAACTAACTAACTAACTAACTAACTAACTAACTAACTAACTAACTAACTAACTAACTAACTAACTAACTAACTAACTAACTAACTAACTAACTAACTAACTAACTAACTAACTAACTAACTAACTAACTAACTAACTGACTAACTGACTAACTAACTACACAAGGTTTCATTCAAATGTGTGTAACTTTTCACCTATTGGTCCTAGCAAAAACTTTCCAAACGAGTTCAGATAGCTATTTCTTGAGTATTTCCAAACAATTTTAATTTTTTTTTCCAAAAAATTCCCTTTTTTCCAAAAAAAATAAAATCCTTATTTCCAAAAAAACCTTTTTTTTTTTTTGCTCAGACGAAGGCTTATACAATTTCCTTTTAGAGCTTTATAGTCCTATAATGGGATGAGAGAATAAGATTTTCTTCAATATTGCAATTAGTACGCTGTTTTTCTGACATAATTAAAAACCAATATACACATTTAATTCTGTGTAAACTAGTACTATTGCATCTATTACCATCCGAAAATCATTGGTTTATGTTCGTGAATGACCAACTATCATTTTGACTGTTTTTAACAGCAACACTGGTACTTATTCACCTTAATGAGCATATGACGATGCTTTGATGTTAACATGTTTAATCTCACGTGGATTTATTTGCCTTCCTTTTCTGGCGAATGAACCACGAACATAAAGCTGAAGGAGCCAAATTTAAAGATGTTGATAAATTATTAAGGTTTTAGATTAAAATATGTTAAAAGCCCATTAAAAATGTAAATACTCTTTCGTAGCATTATTAAAAAATGTAAAGAAAGAATGACGGGATATTTATTGTGTTATGTCTCATAAAAATTAAAAATAAAAATATAAATAATAATGAAACGATCATTTTCATTGTATGGAGGTCATGTTTAATGGATGAGGGAAAAGCGAATTAAATTTTAATGACAACAATATTTTGTTGAATACATTAAAAAAAAAAAAAAAAACATTAAATTTATACTGAAAGTAGCAGTGAGTTGTTTTCACTTCTTATTTTTTCTCTTTTTCTACTAATTTCTCTTTGTTGTTGCTTTAGTTCAAACCGAGGGTAAGTAAATACAAAGTTGTATTTGCAATACATTTTTTAAATGTTGTTGAACTTCAAATAATATTTTAACTCATTTTGTATCGATATATTTTGAAATAACAAAATTGCTAAAATCAATGTATTAGAAAACTGATTATTTAACTTTAAGTATTATTATTTTTATTGAAAGATATATCATATCAAGCGTTTTAGTATATTAAATATTATTTTAAATAGTTTTATCCATAATTTGATAGTATTTTTTAAGAATGTGTTCGGGAATGAATATTTACTTAGTAGGTTTCTAATGCCAACTTTTTACGCAGCGCTTCTTTGCTATCATTCAAATTATTTCTCATATAGTAGTTGAAAAAATAATACAAACTTCAAGAATAAAACAGGTACAGTGGTATGTCGAGCAACGTATTTAATTAAAAGTTTGTTACTATTCAACATTTTTTATTTGAAATCTTAGAAATATAGTTTGACATAGAAGCAAAAAAGGGACACTTTCGATTAGATAACCATTCTATGACAGGGATATACTTACATGCGTATATAAGCAATCGATATTTATATTTATGTTTGAAAATAACCAATAGAAATTAATAAAAGTCCAGAATATATATAAACATTAGAGGTACAAAAACTTTCGATTTTGTAACTTGCAAACTAACAAAGCTACATATATACACACATAATTAGTTACATACATATTTATTTTTTAATCCAAAATTATGTATATTCAAGTTCGTTTGATTTATAAATATTTATTAAATTGTCCCACAAAGGTAAATGAACTGGAGTTGAAAGTACCGACGACCAAAAATCTATATTTACTTAGTTTAATGAAAAATCTAAGACGTGTAATTGTGTTCATTCGCTATTATTTAATTTCCTAGTAATATGTTTCAATATTTATGTACTTTGTAATGAAAATAAATAAAATTGAACTTTACAATGAATTATAAAGTATGCAGGTGTACGTATGTACATTAGAGGTGCCCATAGAATCGATTTACTTTGAATGAGTATCGTTTGTACCGATTTTTAAGAATATGCAAATAGCTTTATTTTTTGCTATTCGATATTATTGGATTATACCTTGAATAAAATATACAAAAAATAATTAAAAATATCAAACCCTTTCAAAGACAAAATTTGTAAAACGCAACATTATTTAATTAATTTTACAACTTTGAATTAATTTCATTGCATGCATGAAATATTTTTTTAGTTTATTAATTTATTATGACAATATCTTTACGGTGAATAGTGCCTTTAAATACTAATTATCTATGTTTTTAGAGACAAATGTGTCTATTTTGGAACAGTTTAACTAAAAACTTTCAAATTATAAAAATTTTATCATTATTTTAAAGTGCAGGGTACATTTACTATTTGAGGCCATTCTTACGGTTACGTTCTAAGTTCCTGTTTTATTTTTATGCATACGTACATTAGACCGACTCACAAAAAAATGGTGCTTGATATATGTAATTGTACGTTGTTATAGAATAAAGTAATAAAAAATCTGTCTAATGATGCCCTTATTGAATATATTGTTTTAAAAAAATTTAAATAAAAAAACGCACAAAATTAATTTTTTAATGACACGAATGACCATCGCTAGAATATTTTAGAAATGGTAATAAAACAAATCAAACAACATTTTGGAGTGGTTGAATTTCATACAAAGTGAGCCAGTCTAATGTATATATATTTTAATTCATTGTTTATGTTACGAAATATTTATTTAGAATGTAAATTGTATTCATTGTTAAAATTGTAGGCACCGAAAATATTTCGTTTTCAGCTTGGAGAACTTAAACAATTCGCCCATCAAAATTTTGTATTTGAAACAAAAAATTCATTTGAAATAAGACCAGCTTACTAAACACATCTTATTTTCTTCTTTATTTATTTTAATTTTATTATACATATATTTTCGCTGTTACTGAATCTTATCCTTATGATTCTCGTTCTTCGCAACGTATCTAAAATTTATTTAAATTTTAATATAAAAGGCGTAAAAATTGAAGCGAAAAAAATAAATAAATATATTAAGTAAAAAGTAAATAAAGTTAAAAGCAACTGAAAACAGAGTAACCGGGGAAGACAGATAAAAAATAAAAGTGCTTCATCTTACACGTACAACATAAATACTTATTATTTGCCACATAAAACAGAAAACAAAAACACAAAAAAGAATAAAGAAGAGAAATGTTTTATGTTCTAAAATATATATACTGCTTACTGGCCGAAGTCTATGCAAAGAATGCAGGTAAATTTGAATAATTTGAAAACGCTGTAAAAATGAAAATAAAAACCAAATAAAGAGAGAAAAAATAATAAAATTTTATATAACCGCTGTATTTGACGGTTTATATCTTTCATTTTAATTTTCATATGGTTTCCATTGCCTATTTCACAGATCCACGAGTTCAGCACTTGCCTCTGGTATATTCGCCTATGCCAGTAATTGTAATTTTATCATTATATTTGGCATTTGTACTGCACTACGGCCCTAAATGGATGGAAAAACGTCAAGCCTTTCAGCTGAAATTAATAATGCGTATCTATAACGCTATCCAAGTTTTAGCCAACTTTACTTTGTTCATCTATGTGAGTTTTTTTGAAATACTATTTTTTGTTTGCATTACATTTCCTCACATACAAGCCCACACTCATAGAGTAAGCTCTATGTTGAGAGATTGTGTGTGTGATGACCATTTATTGCTGGGATGGATGAATGTTCCTCCGTCCGCAAGTCAGTAAACATTTTAATTTGTTTAATGGAATCTTTATTCTTTTTGCATATTTAAACCAGGCCATTCCGAATTCATATGGTCATAAAAAATTTAGCTTTACATGTCAACCCGTTGATCCCACAAATACTGAACCATGGATGATTCGTTTGCTGTACATAACATATGGATATTACCTAACGAAATATTTGGATCTCTTTGATACGGTATGTAACAAAATAATACACGCAACATGAGGTATTAAACACATACTTATATACATTAGGGCCATGACTAATTTTGTCATAAACATTTTAGCTATCTTTCATGATAAGTAGGAAATAAGTGGTAAATTAACAAAAGAAGTTATTTGGATACCTTTTTGTTGATGAGCATATGTATGTATGTATGTATGTATGTATGTATGTATGTATGTATGTATGTATGTATGTATGTATGTATGTATGTCTGTGTATGTATGTATGTATGTATGTATGTCTGTATTCTGTCTGTCTGTCTGTCTGTCTGTCTGTCTTTGTATGTCTGTCGTCTGTCTGTCTGTCATGTCTGTCTGTCTTCTGTCTGTCTTTCTGTCTGTCTGTCTTTCTGTCTGTCTGTCTGTCTTGTCTGTCTGTCTTGTCTGTCTGTCTGTCTGTCTGTCTGTCTGTTCTGTCTGTTCTGTCTGTCTGTCTGTCTGTCTTCTGTATGTCTGTCTGTCTGTCTGTCTTTGTCTGTCTGTTTCGTCTGTCTGTCTGTCTGTCTGTCTGTCTGTCTGTCTGTCTGTCTGTCTGTCTGTCTGTCTGTCTGTCTGTCTGTCTGTCTGTCTGTCGTCTGTCTGTCTGTCTGTCTGTCTGTCTGTCTTTGGTCTGTATGTGTCTATGTATGTCTGTTTCTGTCTTCCGTCTGTCATGTTGTATGTCTTCTGTTGTCGTTTTCTGTTAGTCCTTCTGTCTGTCTGGTCTGTTGTCGGTTTCTCCCCCCCTCTCCCCCCCCACTTTACTTGCCTTTCCACTTCTTTTAATACATATCTGCATGTTTTTGGATACTTAACTTGGAAGAGAGATTAGCTATTGCCCCTTACCTAGCCTTTTCTCCGTCTAACTGTCTTGGGTCAAATAATGACACTCGTTTATGTCAAAAATTATATGTTGTATCAATAAATTTTAAATTTTGTATAGCGTCAATATCATACAGTGCGGCTATTTTGAAAAGAGTTAAATTTTAAATTGATTGAAAATGTTTTAAGTGACGTATGCATAATTTTATCACATACATATACCGTGCGACAGCTTGAACTAGACCTTATATACACATGGTACTAGAGGTCATACATAGAAAACTGCGTTTTCAGTTTTTCATTTCCTGACTTTTCTCTTTTTAAAGTTCTTTAAAGTTTTAATGATATAAAAATTTATCAAAATATTTCTATGCAAAATATGGATGTTAAATGAAAGAAGACAATCTTCGGAAAAGAAAAACAATTTTTGTTTATGTTTTATGTTAATCTAAAATTAAATTTTAGGGCAAAAATTATCAAATTATAGCAACACATTTTAGATGACTCAATGTGTTTTTAATTATTCTGTAAAACGCTTTGATAACCCCGCGCTTTTTGGGATTTTTCAAACCTTTTTTGAGAATTGAGGGATTCATCATAACAAGTTTCACAATTTCTTTTTAATTTTATATTTTTAACGAACAAATCTATATACCTATAAATTTCGTTAAAAATATTTAGAAATTTTATTTAAATGTTTAAATATTTTTTTTCGCATTTCATGGTAAAATTGGCTCCCTTGGATTTTTACATCATTGAGTTGGATACGTGACGTATACGTAATATTTAATTTTTGCTGTCACAATTTTACAATGAGATGTAAAATATTTCCTCCTTAATTTGTCATATACATATATCAATGAATTGGAAATTAAGTCTACTTTTCAGAAATTCATACATTTTTTATTAATACAGATTCTATGCCAATTGGTATAATTTAAGGTGGTATAGGACCAATACAAACCCAATATACCTTCCGAATGAAAGTTGTGTTGGGAATTAGGGTATTTAAAAAACAATAAGTAAGAATTTTATATTCGGCTATGCCTTATATACCCGCCATCAAACCATATGCTGTGAAAGCAATGCTCTCTCATAAATAAGCTTTGATATTTGTAAACTTATGCTTTTGTTATTATCGCAGCAATTTTCTTAGTTATTAGGTTTATGTTGATTTTTTACCATATATACATAGATATTAATATTGTATTTTTATGCCAGTAACACATTATCATTAGCATGATCATTTTCTGAAGGATAGCTTTTATGTGGGTAAGGTCAATTGTGGAACGATCTTCATAACATTTGGTAAAGAGATTTTGGTTCTCACAAAACTTGTTTCCTTGTTCATTATTTCTCCATGCCCCCATACATCTGTACCGCCCGAATTGGGCTTTTGAGCTCATAGTTATGTTAAAAGTTCTAGTATCTCAACAAAAATCGCCAAAACGATCTTCATAACATTTGGTAAAGAGATTTTGGTTCTCACAAAACTTGTTTCCTTGTTCATTATTTCTCCATGCCCCCATACATCTGTACCGCCCGAATTGGGCTTTTGAGCTCATAGTTATGTTAAAAGTTCTAGTATCTCAACAAAAATCGCCAAAACTTAGTCTTATAAAAGTCTAAATGATACTGCCAATTTTCCTAATTATCGGGCCTCTTTGGGTATTATGCAGAATTTTTTTACATATTGTACTGATCAAATTTTTCAGTCGCTAAAAGGAATATTTTTTATTTTTCTCATGTTCAATACATTAATGCATGAGATTCTTAAAAAGGCAGATCCTAGTGACACTCTGATTTATATATGTATATTAATAAGAGTTTTCATATTCACACAAATAAGTGAATTAAATATTTTAAACAGTAGTTACTAAGTTTTTTAAACAATTCACTAAATTACTAATGCCAAAGTATTAATCGGTTTAAAGTTTTTTCTCGTCTGTTTTATTTAACAAATATTTTATAAGAAATTTTGCAAAATTAAAAAATATTTAATTTACCACAAGCCGAGTTGCTTTTAGTCATACATGCACTACACACTCATACAGACGTTAACTGTTTATAAATACATACATTCACATGTACATATTCATTTTCTCATACCCAGCAATCATTCGGGTTTTGAATTGTTTGAAGTTATTAGATCTGGATTGCAATTTGCAACAGTTGCAACAGTTGTTTGAGCTCCGTAGGCATTTGTATATAGGTTGAATCAACATAATTCAAGTTTGAAAATCGTAATGTGTGATATTTTAATTATAAATTTTTTGCTATTTTGAATGCGTATGTATTTCAATTTCAAAATTTGTAATTTAAATGTAAAATTTAAACCACTGATTATGTTTTAAAAATATTTTTCCATGTTTAGCTTTGTCTTTATTACGCAATCACCTAAATAAAATGTTTGTGTAATAAAGTGTGGGTTTTAAGGAAGAACATAACCGAAATTAATAGATAATGTAAATAGTATATGTGCGTTTTCTATGTATCTTTTCATGCATCCATCCTTGCTGCTGTGTGTTTGTAGATATTTATAGTGCTGCGTAAGAAAAATCAACAAATATCTTTTCTACACATCTATCATCATACCGGAATGGTGTTTGGTTGTCATATATATATGACATTTATGCCAGGTAATTTAATGACAAAAAATAAAACAAAATATAAACATTATTTTTTATTAATTAAAAAAAAATACTTTGTTAACGGAAGTGTGTTTTCTTGTATTCATTGTAGTTTTTGTTTAATTTTTAGGAAGTCATGCAACGATGCTGGGACTTATTAATCTTTTCGTACATACTGTCATGTATTCGTATTATTTCGTCACATCGCTGAAACCGATTAAGGAGACGCTGTGGTGGAAACGCCACATAACACAATTACAATTAGCTCAGTTTGGTTATTTGTTCATTCACTTTTTAATAGTACTTGTTCGTAATACTTGTGGTCATCCCAATGCAGTGGCTCTTATTGGTTTTATGCAAAATACGTTTATGTTTGCATTATTTTTCGAATTTTACTACAAAGCCTACATGAAGAAACCCAAGGCAACCGCTGTAAACAATACTGTGACCAGTGACAGCGCAAAGCAATTAAGCAGAGAAGAAAAATTAAAATCGAGTTAGTAATTGGTTAATACCAATGCTTTGTAACAAATAAAACTTTCCAAAAAAAGAGAAAAACAATAAATGCATTAAAAATATTTTGTTTAAAATTTTATTTTCTCTTAAAATTTGGTTTACTCTTCATTGATTGATTTAATTGATTGTAAGTAAACATATTGCTGAAATATTTTTAAACAAAAAATCTCGTTTAAAATTCTGTTAAATGTTGTCCAATTTAAATGACAAGCTCGTCAAACAGTGTTCTTGGAATTTGATGAAAATAAACTTTTCCTGGCACTTTATAACTTAACCATTTGTTCAATTTCCTATTTTAATAATTCATACAAGTGTAGATGAAAATTTTGATTTGATTTGTGTCAAACGAATAAACAGCACCAAGAAACCATAGATACAGATACTTAAATAAATTAATTCATTGCAATGAAATTATTATAACAATTTCATTATATATTAATCATTTACCATCCGTTAATATTTAGAAGAACTAAAAGTTCTTTCTGCTATATTAAAAAAATTCGGAATTTTCAATACGCTGAAGACATAAAAAATTAATAAATTTAAATTATTTTCACCTGTGAAATAAGTGTGTTTATTCAATTGTCACAATGAATGAACAAATGAAATGAACATTCATCTGCGGCTTTATTTGAAAATAGAATGTATGTAAGAATATAATTTCACAATCAGGTTATTGTACGAAAATAACAATAATTTATTACTGTTTTTTGTTTTTGTCGATTTGAATTTTTAATTCATAGTAAAATCAAGCAAATACTTTAGTATTTACACTGAAGATTTAACTAAACAGTACAAGGGAGTGAATTATTAAAAGGACATGTCATTATTACGTGCCCGAAAGAATTGTAGTATTTCTGTTTATATTATAATTTCTTCATTCTTTCTTTTGTTTATTTTTATAATTTATTTGGAGGAACTCGAAAAGTAAAAATCTGCTATAGGTAGATATTTAAAGCAATATAATAAGGACATAAATATTTGACAAATAAATAAATATTTGTTTAATTTTCTTTTCAATAATTTATCAATTGGTTTTACGTTTGATTTAATACAAAAGTAATCCAAGTATAAATATGATAATTACATAAGCTTATGCTAATTTATTTATAAATATTTTAGTTCTTATGCAATTAAAACAAATTATATAATTGTATTTATTAACAAAAACACTCTAAAATATGACCAACAAATAAATATATGCACTCAATATATATACGAAATAGTGGAATCAAATGCATGTGTATAAATATTATACTTTAATATACAAGAACAATATTGAAAAATTATATACATATGTACGTACCTACATAGATATTTACAAAATATCATCGACAACATTCTAAACATCATAGCTTCTGCATTAAAAAGCTTTAATGCAGAAGCTATGATGTACATATATATATATATATATATATATATATATATATATATATATATATATATATGTACATTAGGTTGGACCCGTTTATGTGCTTTTAATGGTCTAAAAAAAAGCATAGAAAGTTTATCCAGCTCACCAAGGAAAAATATTGTGAGAAACAGAATATTAAAATAAAATATTATTTGGAAAAATTCGTAACATTTGTTTTGGGTCAATACTAACGTAAATTTATTAAATGCACACATTTTTACTTACATGTTCAAATAGATGTGGTAACAAGGAAAAACTACATATCTGTAGTTATGAGAAGTTATTTTTTTACAATTCTTGAATCTTTTAATTTATCTATTAACATTTCGCATGTGCAAATTATAACCATCTTAAGAACTTTTTCTTGTTTATGCAGATTTATAAATATCAGCAAAATGTGCCCGTCGATGCCCGGATTTAACGTAAACAAAATACAAACATTGCTTTTGTTACAACTTGTACAATTTGTTGTACAAGTTTATTATTAGTCAGTTAGAAAACGTAAATTTTAATTAAAATCTGGAACAAAAATATATCACTCTTTTAAAACAAGAGAAATTGGTCATATTCCAAAAGCTACCATTCCAAAGTTCATATTGACTTTTGAATTTACATATAATATCTTATTCGTTAAATTTTGCATATGTATTAAAATCGTTCATGCAACGCATATATATTCTTTCTTTTAATAAATTATTTATTTTCAGTAATATACATACTTATATAAGATAGAAGCAATAGACTGAATATTATGATATGCTCCTTAGAGGATACAACTATGGTGTAAATCGGTTTAGGAGTTTTAAATTTGTAGCAAACAATCCAATTTGTATAATTAAATATTGATTATTTACATATTTTATAAGAGATATTTAATAGTTTATTAGTTTTATAAACAATAAAGTCAAAGTTAAGTTTAAGTTAAGCAGAGAAATCAAATAATATTAATTTGACTAAGTTATTATTTATAAAAACTTATAGTTTTAACAAATCTGTGTGTACATACATACATGCTTGTATTTGAGAAAAAAAAGCAATAAACTAACAGTTAACGCTTTAAAATGCAATTATTAAATTTATTAACAAATATACCTTTAAAATTATAATTCATATTTTCCTACATTGTTCATATTGCAAAATCGTAATCTTAAAGCGATTGCGTCCATACCTCGCTAGTTTTGCCGTAGCTGTGATTTAAAATTGAAGGATTTCGGCATAAAGAAAAAAATAAAGAAAATAAATTCAAGATACATTTTCTTAGTTGAAATTTTAAAAGCTAATTTAATGCTAATATTGGAAATTTTTAAAATCTTCCTGTCCGTATTCATTATAATAAATTCACTATTAATTTAAAATATTTCTTTATAAACTCTATTGATCATTGTGATTATATGAGGGGTATAGAAACAAAAGCAGAAATCTCCACATTATTTATTATGTGCTAAAGTTGTCTCCTGGTTACATTTAATGAATGTTTGCGATCAGTCAATACCAAATTCGGATTTAGCCATTATATACCGACGTCAACATCCGGCGATTTACATTTCGTTCATATATGTAACTTTGATACAAAAACAGCAAACTCCAAACTTTAAACGTAGATTTGAACGAAAATTGGTTGACATATTCATCTAATTGTTGCATACTAATAGGGCATGGTCGACCATATGATATGCTGCACCAGTGAGTCTCAATTCCGAAACATTTAAACAATTTGCTGACAATTTGCTATTTTTTGGGGGAAAATTACCCATTTTAGATGACCCAATGTGTTCTTAATTACTCTGTAAAGGGTTTCTGGGGTATGGACCCGGTATTATCAAAAAACTAGAGTAGGGTCGCAAAAAATTATGAAAAATTAATTTTCAAATGCAAATGACACCTAAGGTGTAAGAGATATTTAATAGTTACAACGAACTTGGAACACAAACGAAGAAATAGGATCATTTCAAGAATTTAACATATCCAAGGTGACTTTGCGGAAACCTGACTATGCTCCTGGTGGACCCATTCAAAACTTAAACTCAACAATACTTCCTCTTTACACATGTAAAATTTCATTTGAATAGGGGAATCCGTTTAGAAGTTACAGAATTATTTTCCTCTTGTTTTATTTATATACCACTGTGGTACGGGTTCCAGTCATCTGATGACTATTTTACACCAGTAAGTTTTATACAGTAATAAAAAAAATAAGACTCATCTGAGAGAAATCGATATTTCTCGGATACCCCTAGTGTGATATATATATGTATGCACCGGTGAATTTGTTTTTGTAATGTTTATATACTATTATCTTAGCTTAATATTTAGTAATACTATTGTAACATCATTATATGTATGCATATAAGTAGAAGTTTGTATATAAAATATTATATAGTATATTTGTAATAAATCAATTGTAAACAATATAACACTGAAACCTCTTTTAACTCGTTTAAAGTTGATATTCTGAAAATTTATTGCCTCCTCTCGTTTAGGAATTTTTCAGTTAAGTATCTGAATAAAATTAAAATATGCTTTAGATTTGGGAGAAAACCAACCAAGGGACTGGTCTAGTGTACACATATTATGTAATTTGGAATGTCTACCCGTATTTGGAAATTTTAGTATTTGTTTGTATACATAGTCAATCTTTTATTTGCATAAATATTTATTTACGAACACATATGAATCGACATCATTACGGTCCCTACAGTACGACAAGTACTATAGAGAACACATTTGTTTTTCTCATAAAGTTTATGAAAATAAATTAGAGAAAAATTAAATGTTAAATACTGTCACTTTGATTGCTACTTAAATTGGTCACATGACACATTTCTGACTACATGTAATGCTGAAAGTAGCCGTTTGCATTTAATGAAGCAGAAACACAAAAAATGAGATAAAAATTAATATTTAATCCATAATAGCTCATTAGCGAGAGTGTCTGTTACGAAAAGGTTGTCAATTCCTCGCAATGACATCCCCATGTTAAATTCACTAGTAAATAATATTACTAATGAGTTGTATTATTGTCGAACTAGTTCGTCGCACTGTCCCTGCAGTTCGACAAAGAGCCAATGCATTCGAAATAAAAAGTAATTTCCATTAACATCTAACCATCTGGTTGGCTCTAATTCGTCTTTCGTCACGGTGTACTATATAACGAGGGTGAAGATAATCGTCACTTTAATATCCACTTTGTAAGCGAGAGAGGGGACACTTAAGCTTTTTGTCTGTCTCTTCGTAATTTATGGGTGACCATTGGCTGCCTCGTAGGACAAGCACATGTTAAAATAGCCAGTCACCTGAGCAGTCGGTGACTAGGGGTAACCCTAGGTGGAAGGTTAAATAGGTAGTTCAAGTCTGACCGACCGACTGCTGAGGTAGGGTAGTTTGTTGTACAACAAGAGTATGCAGCAAGTTTGTGTATAAAAAGTCTGGCATATATTTTACAAACACATATTAATATTAAATATATGTTTGTGTATTTGTGTATGTTCTATACTCAATACACACTTACTCACTCTCTAACTTACATTACACTTGCATGTAAAATGTAAAATATATCTATTGTTTGTTTTAATCCTCAATTCCGATATTTTGTAATGCTGTATTTGTTTATGTTTCTGCCGTACCACAATGGTTGAAATAAATGATCCGGCCTTACTAATT